CCCGTACTTGGATATGGGTCACAATTCTGGGCTGCGGACCTGGGATGAGGAAGAGTGCTGGCATGGTGGAGCTTATAGTGACTGTGGAGAAGAAACCCTCCTCAGTTACAGGACAGAAAGGAGTACTTGTGGTCACAGGCCAGGAAAGGAGTAAACACCTTGCCCCTTATCATACCACCTTGGAAGAACTGAAAATTTATAGGTCCCTACAAGTATCTCTGAAAACAGCTGTACAAATCCCCAAAGCTTGGGACAGTACACTCTCCACATTGGAAGCAGACTCTTCCCTTAACAAAGAGTTTAAAACTCAAGTAATTGGCTGGGATCATGAGCAAGTAGCACAAAAAGAGTCAGACTATATTATCTTACTTTGGTGACAAAGAAGATCAAAATATACAACCAGAAGAAGACAACAAAGTCAAAGCTCCTACATCCAAAGCCTCCAAGAAAAATATGAATCAGTCCCAGGCCTTGGAAGAGCTCAAAAGGGATTTTGAGAAGCAAGTAAGAGAAGTAGAGGAAAAACTGGGAAGAGAAATGAGAGTGATGTAAGAAAATCATGAAAAACAAGTCAACAGCTTGCTAAAGGAGACCCCCCCCAAAATACTGAAGAAAATAACACCTTAAAAAATAGCCTAACCCAAATGGCAAAAGAGGTCCAAAAAGCCAATGAGGAGAAGAATGCCCTAAAAAGAAAATTGGCCAAATGGAAAAGGAAGTCCAAAAGCTTACTGAAGAAAATACTTCCTTAAAAATTAGAATAGAGCAATTGGAAGCTAGTGACTTTATGAGAAATCAAGACACTGTAAAACAAATCCAAAAGAATGAAAAATAGAAAACAATGTGAAATATCTCATTGGAAAAACAACTGACCTGGAAAATAGATCCAGGAGAGAGAATTTAAAAATTATTGGACTATCTGAAAGCCATGATCAAAAAAAGAGCCTAGACATCATCTTTCAAGAAATTATCAAGGAAAACTGCCCTGATATTTAGAACCAGAGGGCAAAATAGAAATTGAAAGAATCCACAATCTCCTCCTGAAAGAGATCCCCAAAGGAAAACTCCTAGGAATATTGTAGCCAAATTCCAGAGTTCCCAGGTCAAGGGGAAAATATTACAAGCTGCCAGAAAGAAACAATTCAAGTACTGTGGAAACACAATCAGGATAACACAAGATTTAGCAGCTTCTACATTAAAGGACCAGAGGGCATGGAATATAATATTCCAGAGGGCAAAGGAGATAGGATTACAACCAAGAATCACCTACCCAGCAAAACTGAGTATAATCCTTCAGGGGAAAAAATGGTCATTCAGTGAAATAGAGGACTTTCAAGCATTCTTGATGAAAAGACCAGAGCTGAAAAGAAAATTTGACTTTCAAATACAAGACTCAAGAGAAGCATGAAGAGGTAAACAGGAAAGAGACATCATAAGGGACTTATTAAGGTTGTTCTGTTTACATTCCTACACAAAAAGATGATATTTATAACTCATGAGTCCTTTGTCAGTATTAGGATAGTTGGAAGGGAGGAAATTATATGGAGAGAGAGAGAGAGAGAGAGAGAGAGAGAGAGAGAGAGAGAGAGAGAGAGAGAGAGAGATGGCACAGGGTGAGTTGAAGATGAATGGGTGATATCTGGAGAATAAAATTAAGGGGTAATAGAGGATTATACTGGGAGAAGGAGAAAGGGAGAGATATTATGGGGTAAATTATCTCACGTAAAACAGACCAAAAAAGGCTTTTACAGTGGAGGAAGATGAGAGGGAATGAGTGAATCTTATTCCCATAGGATTTGGCTTAAGGAAGGAATAACACACACTCAATTGGGTATGGACATCTTTCTTACCCTACAGGAAAATAGGGGAGAAGAGGGTAAGCGAGTGGGAGGATGATAGTGAGCAGGGCAGACTAGGGGAGTGGGTAATAAGAAGCAAACACTTCTGAGAAGGGACAGGGTCAAAAGAGAGAATAGAATAAACAAGGGGCAGGATAGGATGAAGGGAAATGTAGCAGTTTTCCACAACATCACTACTATGGATGTGTTTTGCATGACTTCATATGTATAACCTGTATCAAGCGGCTTACCTTAATGAAGGTGGGTGGGGAGGGAGGAAATGAAAATATTTGGAACCCAAAGTTTTAAAAACAAATGTAAAAATTCTTTTCACATGCAACTGGGTATAGAAATCTGTCCTGCCCTACAGGAAAATAGAAGGGGAAGGGGATCAGAGAAGGCAGGGGAGATAGAAGGGAGGGCACAGTAGGAGAAGGGGTATTCAGAATGCACACCATCTTGGGGTGGGGGGAGGGAAGATGAGGAGAAAATTTGGAACTCAAAATATTGTGGAAGTGAATGTTGAAAACTAAAAATAAATACAGAAAAAAATTTTAAAAAGAAACTAAACTAAAATTAAAAAAAATTAAGTTGCTATAAAAGTGGATTTGTTTATAAATTCCCTTGGAGAACAAAAAAGTAGAGGTGAAATAAAGGAAATAATCTTATGTTGCACAAAAGACACAAAACTATCCATTTTGAGGAATGTACACACATTCCAAATATATTCAGGTAAAGTTATTTCTCAAAGGAAGACTTTAATAATGCAGATCAATACAAAACATCGGATAAAGAACAAAACATTTCTATTCTGCTTTATGAACATTTTGATTTTCATTGTTGCAGATTTACCTTCCTGATTTGTTATTGATGATAATACCAAAAGGAACTTGTAGCCACTGTGAACACAAACCAACCAGCAGCTAAGAGAGGGGACCAAGAAGTATGTTGAAATTTAAAATTTCTTATTTGCGGATTAGTAAGCTTGTTATAAAAATCCACACAAATCTTTTCTATTTTTCACATGTTCGTCTAGTTTCATTCTGAAATGCCATTAGATGACTTTGAATGCCACTGTCATAGAAGAGGTCTAGTGCAGGGTCCAAGTTGAAGAGGGGTTCCTTATATATTGTGAGATCCTCCAGATGAGTCAGGATTGCAACAAGAGTGAGGCACTGCCAATGAACACTGCCTTGTGTGCTGCAACACTGGTTCCCATGCAATGTGAAGAGAATGCAAGGAAGGCCCCCAGCATGTTGGGTGGACCCCTGGGCTGAGTAAAGAAGGACAAGGATAAGAGTCACACAAGACAGGCAGGCATGAAAAGATTGTGATCTGAAGGGAATACCTACATCACTGAAATCACAGTAAAATTCACAATACAATCACTAGAGAATTGGGAATATATTTCTTAGCTTTCAGAATGCTTGCACATACATTATTTCATTTAATCCTCACAACAGTCTTGTGAAGTGGTTAGTCCAAATATTATAATGCCTATTTTATAGGGACCACCCTCAGTTTAAGGAAACTGAAGCTCAGAGAGATGAAGTCATTTGTCCGAAAGTCACACTTTGAACTGAACTTAATAGAAAGAATATATAAAAATAATATAAAGAAATTGAATATAAGGAACTGAGATAAAACTCAGGTCTTCTGACTCTTAGTCCAGCATTCATTTCTACTACCCCATAAGGTAGATGTTAGAAATAGAATCTCTTCTATCTAGAATTGAGGATATTCTTGTCATGCTTGAAGATGACAGATAATGCCAAGTATTGGGCTGTCCAGTGGTTTCCCTGGTTTCTAGGTAAAGGTTTGAGTTGAAGAGGTATATGTCTCAAAAGTTATCTGGGCTGTTTGTGTCATGGCCGTCTCTGATGGATTTACATATTAGTAGTTACATTTTTATGTGCAGGACTTGGTTCCAATTCTGAGCTTCTCTCATGCATGGTCTCTGTACAGAAATTACACAAGATGAGCTTTGTCAAAACAGGGGGAGCCTTAAAATGGAGCCTGCCAGACTCTCTCAACAAACACCATTTGGGAAAGGTCCAATCAAATCCTTTGAACTGAGTCCTTTTACCTTATCTGTAGAGACCCAAGTATGAGGCACATTCTGACCCTGGGGCCAAAATGAGCTAAATTCTAATGTTCTCAGGGAAACCTTGGGTGGGAATCATTAACCAATTGAGAGGGATTTGTGAGATGGAATCTATTTTGAACAAATTGAGAGGTTTGAGTCTTTAGTCATGATTTCTACAAATCATAGTTGGTGTGGAGTCTAGGGCAAGATCTAGAAGACAGGGAGGAGGGAGGTATGTGAGGTGCCTGATGTTAAATAGTGCTGGACTTGGAATTAGAGACCTAGGTTTGAAACATGGTTTCATCTGTAAAAAATGAAGACAGTAATAGTTGTACAATTCACAAGACTATTGTCAGGGAAAGGCTGTGTAGATCTTCAAGTGTCATACTTAAAATGCATTGCTTGGCATGCAGGAGAGAGATTAACTGGTAAGACAGGCAAGTTCATCAATTTTTGCTTTAACTTACCAACTCCTTGTTTTTCCAGTGTTTAGCAGTAAAACCAGGATAAAAGAAGAGTTACTATATGTTCTTTCCAGGAAGCAAGACAAGGGAGAAAATAAAATAGTACTCTCCAAACGAGGGGGGAAAAGGTGGAAACACAGCCCAAAAAACAGATGTGGCGGACACAAGAAACAAGGGAGCGTTTAGGGGCGTTAGGAGACTGTGACATCCTGGAACAAGACATTTTTCCTCTCATATAACACCCAACCCAGAACACTAGAACCCACGGAATATAGTAGGTGCCCAATGATAGTCATAGTGAAAAATAAAGAGAAAAAACAAGTTTCTTGGAATTGTAGGATTCTACCTAAGGCAAACCCATTCTTGTTTCCTTTTACTCCTAGTTTCCTATGTAGTTATAGAAGTCAAATTGTTGCGGTTTAGAGTGGGGAGAGCTGGTTCAGGTGTGAAAGAATTCACTTAGACCTTCTCTATAAATGCTGGGAGCTTTATTGACGCAAACGCAGCAGGCTAGCCCTGGAAAGAGGACTAGCAACTTACAGAAGCATAGGGATCTGTTTTATCTTACAATATAAGGGGAGGGATCTTCATGACACAGGATGAGGAACATGGATGACAGGACAGGTGACTCAGGATGAGGAAGATGGGAAATTCTGACTCGGGATGAGGGAGGCAAGGAATTTTTAGGGTTCAGTATAGGGGGGAAGTTTTATGGTATCTCAAGATAAGAGAAAGAGACTCTAGGATGGCCTCAAGTTCAGGAGGGTCGTCACAAGGTACTGGAAAAACAACCCTTAATTGAAATTTGTTTCTTTAAAAAGCTTTTAGCTTTTACATCAAAATGAAAATCAAACCCTGAAGTTATTGACATTTTTGGAAGAAAAAAATTACTGAAAACATACTTTAATTCACTGAGCAAGATTGTGTGTATGTTCTGTTAAGGCATCACAGTATGGCAGACAGAGGCACAGAAAGGCCTTCAGATGGCCTCCATCCCTCATTTGACAGACCAAGCCCAGGCCCGCACCCTTTTAACCCCTCGCCCAATCTGGCCCCTCAGACTGGGTTCCCCCTGTAGAAACCAGCGGGGGGCGTGGCGGCGCATGCGGGCTGCCTAGCGGTTCCACGCGCTGCTGGGGAGGGTGGTGCCCGCGGGCCGAGGGCGGATCAGGGTGCAGCCGAGGGGGCGGGAACGGGCCGGCCGCGCCCCGTGCCTCCGTAGCAGACACCGCAGTAAGCCGGCGGCTCTGTGTCGGTGCGGCTGCTTCTCGGGCGCCGCAGAGGTGGAGGAGCTGGAGCTGCAGCGCGGCGGGGTCCCGGCCCCGACCGGACAACGGCTCCTCCCGGCGGGGCCCTCCGAGGCTGGGCAGCCGCTGGGGACGGACGCCGAGGTGGACGTGGTCGGCGGCGGGGACTGTGGTAGGAGATGCGGGGCCGGTAACGCACTGCGCTGGTTCACCTCCGTGCTGGTCTACGCTGCCTTCCTAGGGGTGGTGAGAGCCGGGGGGTCGGGCGGGAGAAATTGAAACGCGCAGCCCACGTGGTGCTTTAAAGTTGACAAACTAAGGGTGTCCCATTCGGGCCTTACAGCAACCCTAGGAGGTAGGGTCCCTTGTTATCCGCCTTTTACAGATGGGAAAAGTGTGACTTGCCCAGGGTCACCCAGCTAGTAAGTGTCCGAGGTCGGATTTGAACCAGGGTCTTCCTGACTGCCGGCTCATTTTCTCTTTATCCACTGCACCATCTAGCCCCCACCTGGCTTTCTTACCTCCCTCTGCCCCTCTTCGCATTCACGTCAATCCTCCGGCTTATTTTCTCCTGCAGCGCCGACTTCCTACTCCAGCATGCACTTAGAGTTTCTTCTGTTTTGTACCTATTTTAGGCAAACAGAATGACGCACCCTGAAATGGACCTGCCCTCTAGAGCTCCAGGCTCCTGCCCCCCAAGTCCTGCCAGTATGTTTCTCCTGGAGTGCGCTTGCAGGACTGGAAATGTGTTTGCCCACGCTCCTCACCTGACGCTTAACCCAGTGGGGCTCCTGCCCGGAGCTGGGCCGCCCGCACGTGGCCCCTTACCTGCTGGGCTCCCCCACACCTAGTTGTGGTTTGAGTGTCTGGTGAGAGCCGCAGCCCGGGAGGGCTCCGCTGTAATTAATGTGCAGCCGGAAGATTAATCAGAAATGCCTCTCCCCTGTCAGCCACGCAACCCTCTTCTAGGGTCATTTATTTAGGTGTGTCCCTCCTCTGCAAAATACGGGAGATGGACTAAATGGCCTCTGGGGACCCTGCTGGCTGCATCAGCATCTGGATCTTGCCATTGGGTCATCAGTTTCTCGTTTGGGACCTTGAACCCGGGCATAGGGTGCATTTTTAGATTAATGATAAGGCTGCTTAGGGTTAGAGGCTTGCTGAGTAGTGTATTCGAGTGGTAGGAGACCAGGCTTGGATTCAAAAACCAGTTTTGTTGTTTACTGACTGTTTAACCTCGGGCACATTACTGCGCCTCTGAGGTTTCCCATTTCCGTCCTCCTCAGTAAAATGAAGGAGTTGAATTAGATGATCTAAGCCCTTCCAGACATAAATCTGTAATTATTGTCACTTGATCCATTTTCAGATTCCTGTGATTTTTAAGAGGGTCTGAACTGTCGAATTTCCTCTCGAAAATGGCTGTTACTGGGGCAGCTAGGTGGCGAAGTGGATAGAGCACCGGCCCTGAAATCAGGAGGACCTGAGCTCAAATCCAGCCTCAGAGACGTAACACTACCAGCTGTGTGACCCTGGGCAAGTAGCTTAACCCCTAATTGCCTGGCCAGAGAAAGAAAAAAGAAAATATCTGTTACTTAGGGTTCTGCTGACACTTTTCCTTTAGGAATACCATTTATTAAAAACTACTTTCTAGAAGCTTTTTTTGTGAAGCAACTATTTTTATAGATATTTAATGACTATTAATGTGTGTGTGGGGGGGCAGTTTGGCTTAATAGTTACCCTTCCCAAAGTATTAAATCTAAGAGCAACCTGCTCCTGTTTGAAGTTCTTGCCTTTTGAGTCAAGATTAAAAAACTTTTTCCTTGTGTCTTTTCTAGTTAGAAAATAGTCTTTCAGTCATGCAGAACAGCATTTCTTATGTTTGATACATATTGTACAGGATACATGTGCAATAGAAGGCAATAGGGTCATTGATTAGAAACGGACTTTAGAGGTCTCATCCTGATTATTCATTTTACTGATAAGGAAACTGAAGTTCAGAAAGGATCCATGATTTGCCCCCAGGATCACAGAGGTATTAAGTAACAGAACCAGGATGCTGACCCAGGTCCCTTAAGTCCAAATTCAGTGCCATTTCCCTGGCATCACATTGTCTTGCAAATGATTTTGTTTGCTTTCAAGAAATAAAGCAGTGTTTGTAGTAAAACAGCTATTTATACAGATGATACTTTTTTTAAAAAAATTTTTGACATAAATAGTATTTTATTTTTTCTGATTACATTTAAAGGCAATTTTCAGCATTCATTTTTAATTAGATTTTGAGTTCCAGATTTTTATTCCTTTCTCCCTTTCCCCCTTTGCAGCAAGCTATGTCATACGTGTGCAGTCATGTAAAATATATTTCCACATGAGTCATTGTGAAAGAAGAAATAGAACAAAAGGAAAAAATCATGGAAAAAAACAAAGACAGTTACCATAGTATGCTTCCATCTGCATTCAGACTCCATCAGTTCTTTTTCTGGATGTGGATAGCATTTCACATGAGTTGTTTGAAATGGTCTTGGATTATTGTATTGCTTCGAAGAAGAGCTAAATCAGCCATAGTTGTTCATCACACATATTACTGTTACTGTGTACAATGTTCTTTGGTTCTTCTTACTTCACTCAGCATCAATTCATGTAAGTCATTCCAGGCTTTTCTAAATCTGCTTGCTCATTTCTTATAGGAGAACAATCCCTTAAATTCATATACCAAAACTTGTTCAGCCATTCCAAATTGATGGGCATCCCCTCAATTTGCAGTTCTTTGCCACCACAGAAAGACCTGCTATAGTTATTTTTGTACATGTGGGTCCTTTCCCCTTTTTTGTGATGTCTTTGGGATACAGACTTAGTGGTATTGCTGCATCAAAGGGTCTGCACACTTTGATTGCCCTTAAGGCATAGTTCCAAATTGCTTTCCAGAATGGTTCCATCAGTTCACAACTCCACCAACTATATATTTGTGTCCCAGTTTTCCCACATCTTCTCCAACATTTATCATTTTCCTTTTCTGTCATATTAGCCAATCTGGTAGGTGTGAGGTAGTACCTCAGAATTGTTTTAATTTGCATTTTTCTAATCAGTACTGATTTGGAGCATTTTTTCATGTCACTGTAGAGAGCTTTGATTTCTTCATACAGGTGATACTTTATTAGAGGCAGTATAGTGAGTATAGCAATTCTCAGACTTTTCGATCGCAGGACACATTTACATTCTTAAAAATTAACCCCCAGAAGCTTTTGTTTATGTGGGTTATATTCTTTGATATTTATTGTATAAGAAATTCATAAGTAACTAAACAGATAAATTTTTAAATTTTATCAGTTCATTAAAAACTACCAACAATAAACCCATCACATGTTAACATAACATTTTTCATCAAAAACATTTCTAAAACAAAAAATAGTGAGAAGAGTGGCTTTTTAAAAAAACGTTTTGGTGGATCTCATAAACATCTAGCTTAATGGAAGCTGGATTTTCATGTCTGTTTTCTGCATTTAATATGTTGTTGTGGTTGAAATATATGAAGAGATTGGAGCAGTGGATAGAGCACTGGGCTTGGGATCAGGAAGACTCATCTTCATGAGCTGAAATCTGGCCTGAGACACTTACTAGCTGTGGGACCCTGGGCAAGTCACTTAACCCCATTTGCCTCAGTTTCCTCATCTGTAAAATTAGGTGGAGAAGAAAATGGCAAACCATTCTGGTATCTTTGCCAGAAAAACCCCCTAAATTGGGTTACAAAGAGCTGGACACAACTGAAATGACTCAACAACAATATGAAGAAAATCACAGATACAGTCAATAGTCAGTAAATATTAAGCCCCTACTATGTGCCAGACCTTGTGCTTACTGCTGTGGCTACGAACATGAGTAAAGAATGACAGTCCTGACTGTCAAGAAGATTACTATCTAATGGGGGAAGACAATACCCCCCCAAAAGGGAGGGTGATGGGGTAATTTATCTGCCTTGAGGGAATGGTGGGGAGATCAGAGAAGTCCCGCAGCCAGGCAGGAAATGAGATGTCTGTGCTGAGGCCCCTCCTTAAATGGAGATTTTGTGGTTCTTAACACTGCTCTCCAGTCAGAGACAGGGAGTTGGCAAAAAGGAGTATTTTAATAGCCTTTTCAGATAGTTGTTGGTATTCTTCACTGCCATATCAAAATTTGACAAGTGTTAGGTTCTTAAAGATTAGTTGTAATAGAGAATCTAGAATGGTATAAATGAACCTTTCTTGTTCTCTGACATTATCTGAAAAATATTGGTTAATATACGATCAACATCTAGAAAGCCAAGAGAAAGATAACTTTTGTTATATTTTCTTATTTTCAGTTTTACCCAATTTCTTTGAAGTAAATTAGTTTCTACCAATGAGTCAGAACTCCAGTATGTGTTTCATCTTTTTTTTTTTTGGCCTCTTTTGTTGTACAATGTGCTGCTGTTGAGATTAGAAGAGATTCTAATTAAATTAAAATTAAGATCTAATTAAATGAATTTTTAAAAAATACATAGAAGAAAACAGAAACTAAGTCTGCTACTGTTAGGCTGTGTCTACTAGGCTTTGGTTGAAGTTTAATGTCTATAGCATTTTGTTGGGTATACAGATTCAGATTTCACATTTGCAGTACTTGTAAATCATGATATCCTGGAATATAAGTGATACTGAAGATGAAACTTTGAAAAATCATTCCTAATGGCCTAACAGTGATTGAGTTGCAGAGTAGGCTGCTCATACTTTGACAAAAGTTAGTGTAGGGTATAGGAGCCTGGAGTTGGAAATCTCTGATAATATGTAAGCCATGGTACAAGTCATTTAACCTCTCAGTGCCCCACTCAACTCTTTAAGACTATGTTAGGGGGCCAGCTAGGTGGTGCAGTAGATAGAGCACCGGCCCTGAAGTCAGGAGGACCTGAGTTCAAATCCGAACTCAAACCAAACACTTGACACTTACTAGCTGTGTGACCCCTGGGCAAGTCACTTAACCCCAACTGCCAAAAAAAAAAATGCTATGTTAGAATTTCTTGCTTGCAGAGGGGGAATATCCTACATAGATGAAATCATAGGTTGCAACCAAAATTTTTTTACTACTTTTCTCAATGATTTAGATTTTTAAAATTTTAGGTCATGTGATAATTGCGTATAGTTGTAAAATAATTAAAATTTTAGTTTTGGTATTATTAATTATTAAACTGTTAACCTGGAACATTGTTTTAAGATTCTCTAACTCAAAATTGAAATGACCTAGCCAAAAAACAAGCTGCATTTGCTTTTTCAGGGAAATGTTTTTCAAATTTTGCAGCCCATCAAAACTAGAAAAGCATCAGGGCATGGTATATCAGACACAGGACTGGCAGTTCAGGAACTTGTAGATCTTGTAATCCTAGTGTAGCCACTGTTACTTTCTGCCTGCTATGGAAATATATTTGCCATGATTTCACATGTATAATTGATATCATAGTTCTTTCTTCACAGTGGTGAGGGAGGGAAAGAATTTGGAGCTCAAAATTTTTTAAAAATGTTAAAAATAAATTATGAATTAAGAAAGGAAACAAAGTATACTTATTTTTAAAATTTTTTATTAATTTATTTTGATTTATCAACAATCACTTCCATAAGCTTTTGAGTTTTACATTTTTCTCCCCCTCCCCCACTCCCTTCCCAAGAAAGTGTTCTTGATATTTTCCCAAATGCAATTCAGCATACTCCATTCTGTCAATTTATCTGAATTCAGCTTACTGTCCAACAGCAGGATCCACTTCTCCTTGGTCCCTGGTAGAGACAGGCCAAGACCTTTAGTTCACTATCCCTGGGAATAGGCTTAGCAGACCACCAGTTCCATTTCCAGCCAGCCATCACATCCATTATCAAGGGGTGCAGTCCTTACAGAGAAAGCGTCCATTATCCTCACCACCACCATTAGGTGTTGATCAGTTGCCATGGATGGGGCAGGCAGGCTGGCCAACCTACCTAATCAGCAAAGCATTCTTATGTACCCTGTACATTGGTGTTGCTTCCACCACAGCCCTTATGGCCATTATCAAGGTGAGCAACCATGGAGAAAGAGCCTGCCATCCCCACCTCCTCCAACACTAGCTTCCAATAAACTTCCACTGAAAAGCAGATGCTGTAGACCCCAGCTTTTCAGCAGCCACAGGTATTAAAGATGTGGGAAAAGAAAATTGTCCCCTCCAATGTCCTCAGCACTGTCAACATTAGAAATAGATAGGGTGTTAACAGTAGAAATAACATAAAAGGTTGATAGAACTGTGAATTGGTCTAGCCATTCTGGAAAGCAGTTTGGAATTATGCTACCAGAGACATTAACTTATACATGCCCTTTGACCCTACTATACCACTACTACTTCTATATACTGAAAGAAATGAAAGCAGGAAGAAAAAGACTCATGTATAAAAATGTACCTGCTCTTTTTGTAGTAGCAAAGAACTGTAAACTAAAGAGTTGATCATCTGTTGGGGAATGGCTAAACAAATTATGGTACATGAATGTAATAGAGTATTATTAAGACATAAGAAATAATGAAAGGGACAGTTTCAGAGAAAACTGGGAAGACTTATGAACTGATACAGAGTGAAGTGAGCAGAGCCAGAAGAAGAATATATACAATAACAACATTATCAAGAAAAATAAGTTTGAAAAACGTGAGAGCTCTGATTGGTGCAACGACTATTATGATTCCAGAGGACAGAGGAGGAAGCCTGCTATTCCTCTCTTGACAGAGTTGAAAGACTCAGGATACAAAATGAACATGCATTTTTGGATATAGCAGTGTGGGAATTAGTTTTATTGACTTTGCATATTTGTTGCAAAGCCTTTGTAACTTTTTTTTCTGGGGGAGATGAAGTGGTGATGGTAGGTTGAAGGGGGTGGAAAAGGATAGGAAAAAGATAAGGAAGGAGGATTATTGAGGTGTCTCTTTTAAAAATTTGGAGAACTGAAGGAAGGCCGTGAAGAAGAACATAAAGAAGATACCTTTGAAAGCTAAAGGTTGAATTATATACTTAGAAAGAAAAGGAAACTTTTTGTAATAGGGATTTTCAGTTTTACGTATAGTACTTTTTTGTGCTGTGTATATGGAAATGTTTGTTTTATTTTGTGTTTATTAAGTTCAGACTAAAAATAACCAAATTTTGAAAAAGAGAAATGACATTTTAAGAAGCTGTGTTTGCTTTGCCATTCCCCCCCTAAGGAGTACTGGGCCTCTCTAACTTGTAGCTGAAACCTGTATGTGTCATCTTCAATGTTACAAGGTGAGTTCCTTAAGAGCAAGGATTATCTGACATTTCTCTTTGAATCCCTAGCACTTCAGACAATGCTTTGAACATAGTAAATGCTCAGCAAATGCTTTTTTATTCATTCAAATATATGTTCTGATAGAGCAGTCCAATGGACATCATCCGTCTGCATATCATGGTTTGGACAATAGAACAGTATAGAACCTACTAAATGAAACCTCCAAAGAGGTCATCCCAACAGTTCACCTAGGAAAAAGTCAAGTGGCTAAAAAATTACCATTGTCCAGACCACACAGGTTTACATATAATTTAATGATTGTAAAGTTTCATTTTTTTTTAAAAACCATAGGGTCTGAGTGCTGGTATAATAGGACCTACATTTCAAGACTTGGCTGTGAATGTGAACCGCAACATCAGTGATATTTCTTACATTTTTGTGGGCCTTGCATGTGGGAGTCTAAGTGGTTCTGTGATTGGTGGATTTCTCTTTGACCACATGAATCATAACTTAATTTTGGGTAAGTAGAATACCTCAATATCTTCTGACTTTTCAGTAGATATGATGTTTGTATTAATGCCTCTGGAGACAGCTGGCCTCATTCAACATGACCTTGGTTCAGGCCCTGTCTCTGACACAACAGGGTGTATGACCTTGAACATTTAAACTCTTAGTGCCCCAGGCAGCCCTCTAAGACTATAAATTGCAGAGCAGATGTTGACCTCTACTAGTAGAGGTGGTTTTCTCATTTGGCGTTCCCTAGACATGTGAAACAACAGATCCAATGAAAAGTATGAAAGTTAATATTAACCTAGGAATTGATAGCTATCTATGTGTATGGATGTATAGTATTAAGGTATTGTGTTTATATATTTTATTTAGCAGTTAGTAAGCAGCTTGTGTGATTCCAACATGGGAAGAGAATTAAGCAAAGTTAATTTCCCACATCCTGTTCCCAAGATAGGAAGTTAGTTTTATTCTGGGGTTACTGTGGAAATGGGTCACCTCTAGGAAGAGTTCAGGACCCTTAGGTCTACTCAGAAACCCACTTTTACCCTGGGTATTATGTGGAATCCAGCATCTTTTAAACCAGGACTATACAGATTCTTAGAATCAGAAGGGATCTCAGAGGTCTTATAGTGCAAGTTATACTTGAACGTGATTCAACTCTGCAATGTTCCCAGCAAGTTCCTATCCAGCTTCCACTTGCAGATCTCCAGTGTGAACTTACAGGTGCATGCTGTGGCATCCTGTTTCATTTCTGGACAGCTCTGGGTGTTAGAAAGTTATTTCTTTTGTCAAGATAAAATCTGCTTCTCTACAAAATTATTCCTAGAAAGAAAAAGTGATAGGGCCTTTACTAGAGGATGAATGGGACTGGTAACTGACAGCAGAGAGAATCTGGAACTGTTCAATTTTTATTTCGCTTCTATTTACTCTGCTAAGGAGAATGACTTTTATACTGGAAATGACAGAATGAAAATTACTGAAAGGAAGTTGATACCCAAAGTATGTCAAGAGATAATAAGAGAGTGCCTGGTTGCTCTCCATGAATTCAGGCCACTTAAAACAGATGAAATAAATCTTTACATCATAAAACAACTGACAGATGTGATTCCAAGCCATTGTCCATGATACCAGAGATGGTGGAAAACAGCAGAACTTACACAATCTGGGAGATGGAAAAAGGTCTTGCTGTTTAAAAAAGAGAAGAGAACAGTCAGCAAAGAATCATCCAGTGAGCTTGTCTGATTCCTGGGAAAATTAGAGAATGGATCACTAAAGATATAAGGAAATAGTGATTACACTGCATGACCTCATCTAGAACAGATCATGTCAGATTAACCTTATTTCCTTTTTTGACAGGATTTCTAAACTACTAACTAAAAGGAATAATGCTTTAGATATGGTTTATCTGGATTTCAGTAAAGCTTTTGATAAAGCATCTCATACTATTATCATAGGGAAGATGGAGAGATCTGGATTAGACCATCTGCAGTTTGATGAATTCAGGACTGAGGGCGTGACTTAAAGAATAGGCCAGTTCCCTAGGGATCCATGTGAGGTCCTGTGCTGTTTAACATCTTTGTCAGTGACTTGAATTAAAAACAAAAATGGAATGCTTCTCATATTTACAGATGATAGCAAGCTGGGAGGGGGATAGCTGGCACATTGGATGACCACATCAGAATCCCCGAGAATCTTGATTGGCCAGAGAATTGGGCTGAATCTAATAAGATGAAATTCATTAGGGTTAAAAGTTGAGTATTATCCTTAAATACCAAAATGTAAAAAAGTGGAGGAGGCATGGTTAGATGGCAGTTAAGAAAAAGATAGGGCGGTAGGAAAAAAAAAAAGCAAATACAGTCTTGCTTCATTGATAGGCATAGCTTCCAGGAGAGAGAGATGATAATCTTACTTATTCTGCTCTCATCAGACCTCATGTGCACAATTGTATTTATTTCCTTCCCCACACCGTACTTTAAGGACTGATAAGTTGAAAAGTGTCCAGAACAGGGCAACCAAGATGGTGAAGGGGGCTGAGTCTGTGTTCTGTGAGGATTAGTTGAAGGAACTGGGTATGTTTAACCTGGGGAACATTAGACTTGAGGTGGGGACATAATAGCTTTCTTCAAATATTAAAGAACTGTCATGTGGAAGGAATTTGTTCTGTATGGCCCCAGAGCGCAAAAACAGAAGTACTGGAGAGAAGTTGCAAAGAAGTTAACGTAGACTTGATGTCAGGAAAACCTTCTAACAATTAGAGCTGTCTAAGAGTGGAATGGTCTCCTTCTAGAGGTGGTGGGTTTTTCCTCCTTGGAGGTCTTCAGGTAGAGGTGAAGTGAGCACTTGTCTCATAGGGTATAGTGGGGATACCTTTCCTGTATAGATTGTACTACACCGCCACCCAGTCCCTTCCAGCTCTCTGATCTTGGGGTTCTCTGATTCTGTGAGTTAGTCCAGTGTTAGTTGTACAAGAGGTGCTGAATAAATGTCGATAAAAGTTGAACTTAAAAAAAAAAGTCCCTGACACTTCTCCAGGCTGAATGCTATAGGAGTTAAGGGAAAGGAGCCACAAGTCACATTCATAGCTGTATGAGTGATAATCCATGTGCAGTCTAATGTCACATGCGCTTCATCATATACACGCACTGAGATGCCCTTGGATATACACAACCAGAGTTAACATACCACTGACCTGTCCACATGCGCACTAAGAAAGGGGTCTTATGCATGCAGGTACATAGTGAACAGTATATTCACATGGAGATGTAAGCTTCACAGAATGTCAAAGTTAGGACTTCAGAAGCTCTCTAGTCCACACCGTCCTGGAACAAAAATTCTGTCTACAGTTTCCCTGACAAATAGTCATCCAGCCTCCAGTGAGGAATCCCATTACATCTTAAGGCAGCCCATTCCATTTTTGGATAATGGTACTTAGATGCTCACAGCGCTTCATCTAGACAGTAATTGTGAACATTCAGATGCTCACATTGAGATATTTTTCAGCACACACACATACACATACATACATACATACACACACACACACACAGACACAGATACTCCCCTATACCTATCTGTTTACCGTAGATGACAGTTGTTGATAAATGAGAGTTCATCTGGAGGAAAGCTACTAGTAGGATGGGGAGAGGGACTGGAACCAAGGCTGTCTGAGGCCACTCAAGTAACTGAAGATATTTATCTTGGAGAAGAAAGGATTTGGAGGGTGCCTGATATGACAGCTGTCTTCTGAGAATCTGTAGGGTTGTTACAGGGAAGACCTTCTTCTGCTTGGTCCCTGAAAGCAGAACTGAGTAACAGGTGGATTTGTGGTACAGATTTTGGTTCAGTGAATGTAAAAACTTGATAGCAGTTAGGGCTGCCTGAAAGTAATTGACTGCTGTAGCGGTGAGTTCCCTGTTCCTGGAGGCTCTTCAGAGGGAGACTGAATGACTGTCTAGCTGTGTGTTGAACTAACTGAGGGGTTTTAAACTTGGAGTCCAGGAACTTGTTTTTGTAGTATTTTGATAGCTGTATTTTAATGTAATTTGTTTTCTTTGTAATCCTATATATTTCATGTATTTAAAAGCACTCTTCTGAGAGTGGCTCAGCAGGCTTCACCAGACTGTTAGTGGGGTCTGTGGCACAAAAGAGGTTAAGAACCTTTGTTGTAGATGTTCCCCGTGATTTTTTGACAGTATATTTAGTGTATTGGAAAGAACATTAGTTTTCAAGCCAGAGGACCTGGATTTGAATCCTGGCACAGCTACTTGCTTACATGTGTGATCTTCATCTGATTACTTATAACCTCTTTATGCCTCAATTTTCTCATGTGTGCGATGGAGGCAGCGTTGTACTACATCAGTAATATCAAACAAATAGAAGTGAGTCCCTGCCCGCTGCATATTGACTTAGCCACAAATTAACATCATTTTTGTTGTATTTTTATTTCTTTTGTACAACATTTCCCAGTGAGCTTGACACCTGTGGACTAGGGGAGCTCTAAGGAAGGTCTCTTGTAGCTCTAAATCTGTGATCCTGTGGTTCAGCAGACTTGTTCAGTATGTTTATAACAAGAAACTTTGTCTTTCTGTTGATAGTTCTGTGGCTCAAATTTTGAGTCCACTGATAGCACTAATTCCCAATTCATAAACTTAACTGGAGGCAGTGTGCCAAATACGGGAAAACCTGTGAAATAGCTGTCTGGGATTTCATTTGGAGGCCCACCAGGTAATAGCTAAAAGAGTTTCATTCCTCATCTTACTGTGTTCAGTAATGCCACTGACTCTTCCTTCCAGTATGTCAGTAGTTATTTTTAAATTTATACTCCCAGCAGTCACTCCAATGGCTTCAGCTCAAAGGCAAAGAATTTTATAGTGTATTGAGAATGAAATTTATTTATTTCTTTAATTGTTGAAGTTTATTTCTCTAAGCCATGTTTCCCGATTTCCATGACTGACTTTGTGTTGAAGAACAATTAGAAGTCTTCCTCCTCAATATAGACCAGTTTAATTTAACCTAATTTTAGGCATTTTAGATGAGATTGTTTTAATGGTAGTGATGACCCATGAATATGTTTTTGTATCTAATTTTTGCCTTTCTTTTAGGACTATCAGTGCTGGGGACAGCTATTAGTCTCTACCTTATCCCCTTTTGCAAGCAAGCAGTATTACTGGTTGTTATGATGGCTGTCTCTGGAATTTTTTGTGGAATTTTAAGCACAGGTGAGTGGATATTTCTGCCACTATTCCTGTGTGGAGGAGAGGAGGGAGGGAAGAGAAGATAGCTTCTTTTAGAAAACAGTAGAGAAAACTGTTTTTTCTAATTCTCAACTAGGTTACTCTTCCACATGGCAGTTGTTCCTGGAACAGATATTGTTCATTTACTTAGGTGGAAAATAAAGGACAATAATGCTTGGCAGGTGTGAGGGTGACTTGTGACTGTCCTGCTTCATAAGCAGTAGGTGTTGGTGGTTAGGATCCCCCAGGGAGGGAAGATTTCTTCTTTGACAGTAGTTAACATAAAAGAATGGCAACTTTCATTAGGTAGTAAATCCTCATTGTTATGATATGGGGTAATTATTTAAAACCTAGACCAAATTAGGACCTAGAGTCTGAGTAAGCAGATTAAATTCAGTGAATATTTCCTAATTACTAGTTAATTTGCATATTATGTTCAGGTTGGGCATCGAATACTTGTATTGGAATGGATGCAAAGGTAATAGACCTAAATTGAAACTTATTCCTTGCCCTGCCTATCACTTTTTGATTTTTTTTCCCTTTTCTCCAATTTTCCTATGGTCTTCCACTAAATCCTTCTCTAATTAGCTGAACTCTGATATGCCCACCAAACCCTTTGCCATTTAATTTTGTATTTTTCTAATATATATGTAATATTCATACATATATTCATATGTACATGCCCCTACACAAACATATTTAGGAGGAGGGCAGGCTAGACTTAGGATTTCATCAGCATAAGGATTGAACAGTGAGGAAACTCCTTCTCCCTGATGCAGATTGGTAACTGTTGTGCAATTTTTAAGAGTGGCCAAACAGAGTAAGTCTAATTTTTTTCCCATATGGCAGTCCTTCAAGTAGTCATTCTTGGAGTCAGACCACAGTAGATGACACATGCTGGCTGTGTGACCCTGGGCAGGTCATTTAGCTTTTCACTGCCTTAGAGACCTCTTTAGTATCATGTGTGTGCATACATACACATGTAAAACAGTTTCTCCCACCATCCACACTGTAGCTTCTTGTGTTTCTCTCTCCCCTGTTTTGCTGTAGTGGCTGAGGGTGTGAGAAATAAAGACTTGAGGCTTTTAGCTGAGTTTGATGACTTTCATTCGTTGGTAGTTTGCACCTCTGTAAAGAGTTAGAGACTGTGTACCTGTTTGTGTCACTTGACCTGCATGTAGTTGAGGGTGTTAGAGGGTCCTGATAGGTCCTCAGATGGGCATAGCAGGATTCTGCAGATCCTCACATCCTGAAAACCTCATGCTGCCCCTGGTATGTGCATAAATAACATTTGCTCAAATAGGTGTCTAGTGCTATGTCTTAGGGGGGATTTTAGTGACTTTAATGTTATCTGATGATTAAAAACCAAATAGCATGTTTTGCTCTGAAGCACAGTTTACCTTGTCACTTCTGTTGTACATTAGCCCATCGGGTGGATGTTTCCAGCACCAGGACCTTCTCATTCTTTGCAGTTCTTGTCCTTCCATAAATCTTCCACAGAGATTCTACCCATTGTGCAGTAGGCCTTCTTCTTGGGCTGTTAGCCTTTGAATGGTTGTACCAGAGGTGAGGAACCTGCAGCCTTGAGGCCACAGGTGGCCTTCTAGATCCTTAAGTGTGGCCTTGTGATTGAATCCAAGTTTTATCTTTCTTCTGTAAAATTTGGATTCAGTCACAAGGCCGCACTTCAGGATCTAGAAGGCCACCTGTGGCCTCAAGGTTGCAGGTTCCCACCCCTCGGTACTGTTTGATGGGTTGTCATCAGCACAGCCCTACAGGCTGTCCATCTGCTTCCCTTTGTCTCACTCCATGAGCCACCCACATCCTTTTCTGATCAAGCTTGTGCTTGATGATGTCTTTTATACCACTTGTGTGTACCAGTTGTTGCTTATACACTTCAGAATGCTTACACCAAAAAGAAAAAGAAAAAAAGAAGGGGCAGCTAGGTGGTGCAGTGGCTAGAGCACTGGCCCTGGATTTGGTAGGACCTCAGTTCAAATCCGACCTCAGACACATGACACTTACTAGCTGTATGACCCTGGGCAAGTCACTTAACCCCATTGCCTAGTGAAAAAAAACCCCAAAAAACAGAATACTTACACCTAGTCTGTCTCTCCATTGTCCTTTGGGTCACTTGGCCATTTTGATGCTTCAGAGAGCATGGCATTTATAATTAGGTAGGTTCACTGAGGAAAATTTCAATGTTCACTGTGTCTGTAGCATTCTTTTCTAATACTTAAATGGTACAAAAGTACTCCAAAACTGTTAGAGTTGCCTGAGGTTTGAAAGTGGGTTAGTGGCATTTGGTTACTTAGCCTTTTGGGAGGTAAGAGGAGGCAGGAGGTGGGTCTTGACTTGTGATTTCACTGGCACAGTGAACCCTAAATAAGGAAACACCCTCTAGCAATGCATATTAGTGAGTTTTCTGCAACTCAGCCAGCTGCCGAGGACCATATGGCTGGTATATATTAGAGATAGGACTTGAACCCAGAGCTTCCTGACTCCCTAACTGGCTCTCTGGCTTCTGTGCTGGGCTTCCTCTTGGCTTAGCAAATTATAGTTTATATTACTAGTGTACTATTTCTGACAACAGAAGCTCTTCAAAACACAATTACTACATTGACTTTCAAGATATTAATGGCATACAGAATTTTTAACACAAAAATGTAATTCTTTTTATTATTTGTAGGTGGCAATGTCCTTATCCTGCATTTATGGAGAGGTGAAGCAGCCCCACATCTGCAGGCCTTGCATTTCACTTTTGCCTTGGGGGCCTTTTTGGCTCCCTTACTGGCCAAGCTGGCCTTCAGCAGTGCTGTGCCCTCTGAAAACCACATGATAGGTGACACATCAAACCACTCTGAGCTCACCCTGCCCCCTGCAGCCGACTTAGCAGTCATATTTGGAGTACCTGCTAACAAGAATTTGCTATGGACTTATGTTGTTATAGGAACTTATACTTTGGCGATATTTTCCTTATTTGTTGTTTTGTTTTTCCAAAAAATTCCAAATCAAAAAGAAAGCAAAAAAAGCTGCTGAGAAGACTCGAACTGTGAAATATCAGAATGTCCTTCTTGTTCTCCTTTTTATGTTTTTCTTTTTTTATGTAGGAGCAGAGATCACATATGGCTCTTACATATTCTCTTTTGCAACACTGCACGCTGGCATGAGTGAAAGCCAAGCAGCAGGCTTGAACTCTGCCTTCTGGGGGTCATTTGCCGCTTGCAGGGGCTTAGCGATCTGTTTTGCTACGTGTCTGCAGCCTGGGACCATGATTGTGTTAAATAATGTGGGCAGCTTGATTTCCTCCCTGCTTCTAGTGATTTTTGATAAGAACCACCTTTGTCTTTGGGTGGCAACTATAGTGTATGGAGCTTCAGTAGCTACTACATTTCCTAGTGGCATTTCCTGGATTGAACAGTATATGACCATTAAAGGAAAATCTACAGCTTTATTTGTAGTTGGTGCTGCCCTAGGACAGATGGTCCTTCCTGTAGTGGTTGGATCTCTTCAAAGAAATTACCCACATCTTCCTGGGATTCTGTATATTTTGTTGGGGTCAGCTATTATGACGGGAGTTTTGTTTCCTATCATGTACAAACTGGCCACCGCACCTCTTAGTAGCAAGATTCAGTAAAGTAGAAAGAGTGAAGCCCAGAAAGCACTGCTGTCCCCCTCTAGGTTCAATAATGAGGATAAAGATGATTATGGAGAAGAGGGTGCTGAAGAAGAATGGGACAAAGTATACTTTGAAATGAGTGATATGATAAGTAATTCGGTAATGAGAAAAATCTAGAAAAATTTTGAGGAAATCTCCCACAGAAGTTTCTAGCCAGTTATTGTCAAATGACATACCATTCAGTTCTTCTCTGGCTATTACTGGCAACTCACCTGTGAAGCCCCTCCCTCTAGACAAGGAAAAGAATGACTAATGGAGTAAAAGATGTATTGGTTATTGATTCCCTGTAACAACCGTTGGCTTTAAGGAGGCAAGTCAGAGTAGATCATTAACATATTTTAGGGTTTAGCACTTGTAGCTCTGATTCCAACAAGTGGAAAATTCTGATGTGTCATGTCAGTTCAGAGTCTTTGACAACAAAAGGAAGTCAGATATAGTCAGGTGTGGCTAGTAAAGTGACTTCACTGTAAAGTAACTCCCTACATTCAGAAGCTTCAAAGAAGGCATAAATATTTGAGAAGTTTCTTACCAGCAAAAGTCACCTAAAGAGTGATTAAGGAGTAGAATAAATTACCAGCATTCCAGAAACTATTGGTAGAGCTGGTAAATAACCACACCAGTGGCTTTGCCAAAAAAATGCCAAAATGGGAGGATGAAGAGTTAAACACAACCGAAAAACAACAACAGTAGTTCAGATCCTCATCAGCTGTTGATGACCTAATTGGTCTGTCTTCCTCAGTGTCTTCCCCTACTCCAATCCATCCCCCACTCAGCTACCAGAGTGATTTTCATAAAATACTGATCTGACTGCATCACCCCCTTCTAAAGAAACTCCATTAGTTCTCTATTACATTCAGGATTCGATAGAAAATCTTCTGTTTGGTATTGTAATCTGCCCCCTTTCTACGTTTCCAGCCTTCTACTTCTCAGTTTAAACCCCACTTCTTAGTTTCCAAGCTAAGTAAATAAAAACATGTAGAAAATTACTTTTTGAAAGAAGAACACCAACAACTTCACGTAGGAGGAAGAAACTACATTTTGCTAAAAGATAGCATAGGCAATGACTTAACAGCAAATGGCACAGCATTAAATTCTTAAGGAAAAATTAAATGAGTTATAGGAGGAAATAGATAGTAAAACTATACTAGTGGGGGATTTAAATTTATACCTTTCAGACCAAAATAAGTCTAACCATGTAATAAACAAGAAAGAAGTTAAGGAGATTAATAAAATTTTAGGAAAGTTAAGATGGCATATTGAATGGGAATAGAAAGGAGTATTCTTTTTTCACACCTGTGCATGGCACCTTTACAAAATTTGAGCATGTACTAGGGCAAAAGAATCATAAAGAAATGCAGATAGGCTGAGATATTAAATGTATATTTTTCAGACTGTAAGGTAAAAAAAGGTATATATATTTTTTCAATAAAGGGCCTTTAAAGAAGAGATTAACAATAACAAGTGAGCAAGGAGGTGGAGTAAATAAGAGTGTTGGGTGGGGACTCAGGAAGACCTAAATTCAAATCTGGCCTTTGACTGAATAGTGATTTGATACCCAGGCAAGTCACTTAACTCCTATTTGTCTCAGTTTCCTTATCTGTAAAATGGGGATAATATCTGCATTCCAGGGTTGTTGTGAGGATCAAATAAGATTATAATTGTAAAGTGCTTAGCATAGTGCCTGGCAAAGAGTGAGCAGTATAAAAATGTTAGCTATTAATTAGTTGGACACTACATAACCTAGTCCTAAAGACTGAGAGGGTCAAAGAAAAAAATAGCAACAATAATTTCATTAAAGATAATGACAACAATGAGCCAACATACTAAAATTTGTTGTTACCAAAGCAGCAGTTGGTGGAAAATTTATATCTCTAAATGCTTACTTCAATAAAAGAGAAAGAACAGATGAACAAATTGGAAATACAGCTAAAAAAGTCCGTAGAAGACCAAGAAATTAAAAACCTCCAAACACCAAAATAGGGGCAGGTAGGTGGTGCAGTAGATAGAGCACAGGCGCTGGAGTCAGGAATTTTAATCTGGCCCGTAACACTTACTACCTGGGTGACTCTGGGTAAGTCGCTTAACCCCAAGTGCCTCACCAAAAACCAAAAAAAATACCAAAATAAAAGTCCTAAAAATCAAAGGAGAGATGAACAATATTGACAGTAAAAAAACAAAAAGAAACAAAAAAACCCCCACGAAATAATAAAACTAGAAGCTTTTGTTTTTTGGGAAAAATAAAGCTATGGCTAATTTGATTAAAAAAAAGAAAAATCAAATTACCAATATCAAAGTGAAAAAAAGTAAATTTATAACCAATGAAGAGGAAATAACAGCAATGATTAGGTACTATTTTATTCAACTCTGTACCAATAAAACTGACGATCTAAATGAAATTGATGAATATTTTTAAAAAATATAAGCTGTCCACATTAACAGAAGAGGAAAAAGAATGCTTAAATAATCTTATCTTAAAAAAAGAAAATGAATAAACCATGAATGAGCTCCCTAAGAAAAAAGGAACCAGATGGATTTTTCAAGTGAATTATATCAAACATTAAAGAATAATTAATTCAAAGAAGCCCTAGTAACCTACTGTTTGATAAACCCAAAGATCCCTATTATTGGGGCAAGAACTCACCATTTGATGATTGTTGGGAAAACTGTAAAGTAATCTGGCAGAAATTAGGCATAGATGAAGATCTCACACTGTATACCAAGATAAGCTTAAAATGGGTATGTGATTTTGTCATGAAGGGTAATATCATGAGCACACTGGAACAGAGGAGAAATTATTTATCAGATGTATGGGTAGGGGGGAAGAGTTTATAAGCAAATGAAACAGGAGTCCTACCCAATTCCTTCTCTGACACAATTATAGTTTTGACAGATACAATCTCTTTAAATAAAATACTAACAAGGAGATTACAACAATATATCACAAAGATAATATACTATTACCGGGCTGGATTTATATGAAGAATGCAGTGCTGGTTCAATATTAGGAAAACTATAAGCATAATTGACCATAACAATAAAAAATAATAAAAATCACAATTATTTCAATAGATGCATAAAAAGCTTCTGGCAAAACACAATACCCATTCCTGTTTTAAAAAAATTAGAAAACAGGAATAAAAGGAGCTTTCCTTAAAATAAGTAGCATCTATTTAAAACAATGAGTAAGCATTTTCTGTAATTGGAATAAGCTAGAAGCCTTTTTGGCAAGATCAGGAGTAAAGCACATTTGTCCATCGTTACCATTACTGTTTGATATTGTCCTAGAAATGTTTGCAATGGCAATGAGACCAAAAAAAAAAAATTAAAGGAACTGGTAGAGGATAAAAGAAAACAAAGCTATTGCTTTTTGCAGATGAAGTAATGGTTTACCTAGAGAACCCTAAGAAGTCAATTAAAAAATAATTAAAACAACTACTTCAGGGAAGTTGCAGGATATACACTAAGTCATTAGCCTTTCTATATATTACCAATAAAATCCAGCAGGAAGAAAGAAATTCCATTAAAACTAACAAAAATTACTAGAATTTTCAAAACTTTTTTTCTGTATCATAGTGACAAAAATCAACACAAAGCTCCTTATAAAAGTCATCCTTGAGATACAGTTGAAACCCTAGTTTGTAGTAGATGCATTCAGAACAAAAATCATTATAGCACTGAAAGATTTCTGAGTCCTAGCCAATAGTCCTATCCAGCAAAATATATGACAAAATTCCAGTAATACAAAAGATCTGGACAGTCTTTTGGGAGTTTGCTGTAATAGGATTTAATCCATACTGCAAGAGCTAGTCAGGAAAATCATTGTAATGCCTTTGTGCTTTGTGTTTCTATGGCTCAGGTTTTATGTGTGTGTGTATGTATGTATGTATGTATGTATGCATGTGTGTTCTTCTCTTCATACAATCTTTATGTGACAATGCAATGCCACTTTGCACCATGCTTTGATGTTAATATAATGAAACCTATTTAAAAAGACTGCCTAATATTCTCTATGAGAGTAGCTGCCTTAACAGAGGGCCTTTGCTTACAAAGTTGTTAATAGATGCATCTGTGGGTAAATGACATGGATTTGCAGGAATTTTTCCCTACGCACACACATTCCTAGACAGGTTTTCTTGCAATTACTTTAAAAAATCCAAAAATTCTTCTCAGTACATAGGGGAGGGAGGGAGTGTGATTGAATGGATTTTTTACATTTGACTTTGGCTAATGTGTAAGAGGCTTTCTATAATGGTGACTATTTATTGGAATAAAATATTGATTTGGATGAAACCTTGCTTTGTTATTTATTTTTCTCATTATTTAGTTAGTTGTGATTTCTTTTCCTCTGTCTTTTACTCTAATGTCGAGGCCTACATTTCCAGTAGTTTGCTGAATATGTCAATCTGCATTTCTGGCCTACACTTTAAAATCAACATGTACAAAACTGAACTCGTCAACTCCTAAAACAGCTCCTCCATCATTACTACCCCATTTCTGTTAATTATCCTGACTTTGGTTTCTCCCTCTTCTTCATTCCTGGCTCCCAATTAATCACTATGTCCTGCTGATTCTTCCTTAGAAATGTCTTCTCCATTCATTCCTTTCTTTTTAACTATTCTGCCATCACCCCAGTTCAGATTCTTATCACTTGATTCCTGGATCTTTGCAGTTGCCTCCTAACTGGCTTCCTTCCTGTCTGGTTATTTATTCCAATCCATGCTGTCATCAGGACAGTATTCCTCTTGTACGCTTTGAACATGTCATACCCATGAACAATAGTTAATTTTTAATGGCTACCCACTGACAAAAAGCAAATTCCTTAGTCTGGCCCTCTAGCCTTTCTTGTCCCCCACAATCTGGCCCCAAACTGGAAACCTTTCTAGACTTATCTCCCATTCTTCCTCCACAGGAACTCTAGGCTTCTATTTGGAGTATCTGCTCTTCTCCAATGGATAGTGCTTTCTTGCCTTTAGTCATAATTTGCCTTCTTCCTGGAATGCCTTTTGACCTTTCCCAAGCAGTGGCAGTAATGATTTCAATCCATTTCAGGTTACTGATATTCTAGCCACCCCCCAGGGCCCAAGTCCCTTTCCGTCTCTTATATGATTATTTCCTGATAACCTCAGCCGGCTGTGATCTCTGATTCTCTTTCTGTTTGTACTTTGTTATTTCCCTACATCACTTGCACAGCACTTGTCATATATTATCCTATAATGTAATCACTTGTATATATGTTAATCTGTTACTAGAGTATATGGTCCTTGAGAGCAAGGAGTGCCACTGTTTTCCTCAGTGTTGTGTAAACCTTAAGGTGCTATATAAACATGAGCTATTATTGTTCAGGGCTCAATAGCAATTTTTTTGTAATATTCACATTAAGCTCTAGCCCTATAATGTGATTTTTGCCTACATAAAAACACCACTGAAATAATGCTGACAAAAAGTATTTTAAGAATGTAAATTTTTTAAATGTTTCAAAGTTTAGAGATATATATGAGTGATCCTGAAACTAGGTTTATTAAATTAGAAATCTGATGTTACTATGGGAATATTAGTGTTGCATGAGAATAGATTTCTTCTTATCTTCTCAAACTTCAATTTTACTGGTTTAGGGTTGGCAGGAGTAACTGCTTCAGCATCTCTTGAACAATTTTAAAAGACTGCTCCTTAGTGGCTCCTTTCAGTAGGACAAACATGCCAAGGGGATTAAAACAGAATAATATATTTAGGAAGTAACTGTTAGGAAACATCTTCTTGAAAACAGCATTCCTGCATAATAGATCTCCTAACTTTCCTATTCTGCATTAACTTCTCCTATATAACACCTTTAATGCCTTTCTTGCCTGCTTGTGTATGCTATTTGGTTACAGATCTTCAAGACAACTAATGTTTCCATTTCAACCACCCAAAGGTCAATTCAATTATCAGAGCAGAATTAGGAGAGTCCTTAAGTACAAAGTTAAGGCTTTGGATATACATAGTCAAGAATCATAAAGATAACTAAGTATGGAGTATAGGAATGACTAGGGAGAAAAAAGGTATGAGGACAAGATCATGGATAAAAACTACTAATAGAAAATCAGAATGGCTAGTTTTGGTGGACTGCAGTCCATCAGAAATAGAAGAGAACTTTGCTCTTTTTGTATCACATCATATTTGTAGTTCATGGTGTGGACTTGGGAGGCATGTGGTAGATTACATAGATAAACTCAAGGGTAAAACTCCATTGTCTAACTGTATTGTATGAAAGAAAAGTGCCATCAAGGTGAGGACAGTAGGAACAGACAGCATTTAAAATAAAGCTTCAGGGTTAGCTTTTTATTGTTGGGGAGATAAACCTCTAGCATTAATTAAAGTATTATAATACTAGAATTCAAATAGCTTTATGTTGGTTCCAAAGGTTTGGGGAGGTGATGAAGCTCCTTCTTGACTGACAAACTCATTCTATGGCTAGATGAACTAGGTGACTGCTGACTATTAGTTAAGCAACAGGTTGGAGAAATGTTAAAGAATGAGATGCCAGGATCTGATTTCACTTTAGAGCCTTGGAAACAAAGGTTATTGCCTTGATCTGA